GCATGCAAGGCAAGCACTCTACCACTGAGCCACCTTCCCAGCCCCTAGACTTCTTTTTTTTTTTGTTCGGTGATGGGGTTTGAACTCTGGGCTTGGGCGCTGTCCCTCAGCTCTTCAGCTCAAGGCTAGTGGTCTACCACTTGAGCCACAATGCCACTTCCGGTTTTCTAGTGTTTTATTGGAAATAAGTGTTTCATGGACTTTCCTACCCGGGCTGGCTTTGAACTGTGATCCTTAGAACTCAGCCTCCTGAATAGCTAGGATTACAGGCGTGAGCCACCAAGGCCCAGCGATACCACACTTCTTGCTCACAAAAAGCAGAGTTCTGCTAGGTGCCGGGATAGCACCCAGGCCCCACAACCGACCAAAAACAAACAAAAAACAGAGTTCTCCTTCTGCTCTCTTTAAAAATGTCACTTGAATGAAATCTACTGGAATGTCATCTGATGGATGGCTGTTTTTGCATGGGATTCCTGCAAAAATAAATTGAATGAATGTTTTCACCATTGTTGTTTTGGACATGTATTTGGATTTATTGTTTTGTATTTTCATACTGATCACCAAAAAATGAGTTGTTTATATCAGTCATAATTCCCTGATCAGTTGTTTTAAGAAGCTTGACAAATTTTCTTTAAGGAAGGCTGCTGTAACTAAGAAAATGTGTCCATATTTCCTAGGGAGAGTGGCTCTTGGGTAATTGGGTTGCATGCTTTTGTCTGGTCAGGTTTTACTAGCCTTTGCAAAAAAGTGAGGTGTCAGGTATTAATTCCTCTTTTGAGAGTCCTGGAAATTTCAGTGAACTTGCCTACAGTTAGTAATGCACTCACCCCTCCCTCCCTCCCTCCCTCTCTTCCTCTCATCTCTCATCTTTCCACTTGCTGGTCTATCTGCCTGACGGTCATGGGGCTTGAACTCTGAGCCTGCATGCTGTCCCTGAGCTCCTTTTTGCTCAAGGGTAAAACTATTAATATCTGAGCCACAGTACCACTTCCAGCTTTTTCCATAATTATTTGGAATTAAGAATCACAAACGGGCTGGGAAGGTGGCTCAGTGGTAGAGCCCTTCCTTGCATGCATGAGGCCCTGGGTTCGATTCCTCAGCACCACATGAGTAAAAAGAAAAAAAGCTGGAAGTGGCGCTGTGGTTCAAGTGGTAGAGCACTAGCCTTGAGCTGAAGAGCTGAGGGACAGCGCCCAGGC